AACACATCAAGGCAGTGTAATCTGTGTCCATGGTAACCTATTTTATATAAAACGAATTAACTGAAGAAAGCTTGGGGGTATAAATGACAGCTTGTTAACAAGTGATCACTCTCACATATTCTAAAGAAAAACAAACAAACCTGACACTGTCAACATGCCATTTCCTATTTGCAGGAAAATCATCATTTGTACTGAGATACTTGGGACAGAGCTTTAACCTTTCAACTTGACTTATATGTCCAATCTCATGTGTTTTGTTCCAGCAATCAAATCTGATTGTGACAGAATAACAATAAATATGTGTTTCATTCAGTGAACATTGATTCGTTAGCTTCCTGGAAATATTATACTGGGACAACTTGGAACCTCGAAGACACGATACATTTTACATTTCGTTCAATTTGTATACACAGATTACGATGACCTCACGAAGGCATTCAAGGCATCAACTGACTCACCAGGTAGGATAAAAATGAGTTAAGACACGTGTTTGACAATTAGCAGTGTCATGGCAGAGTAGATGTAAGTGTAACGACTATATGTTGCCTAACTATTCGATTTGTAGTGATAACGGTTTTAATCACTGGTTACAACCCATGGTCGGGTGTTTAGCCCATGACTTTGATGAAGATAGTCTGTCATGGCATTGTGTCTCATGCTTTCACTTTCTCTGATAGTCTAGTTGTTTTACTGTCAATAAAACGTGTCAATGTATAACCTTTTTATGGTCACGATATGGCTGAAATACTGCCGACATGACTAAAAATCTTAACTCACTCACTCAGTCATGCTTTCAGTCACCAACTTGACAGAGCAAACGATCGTCTTGATTTGGCAGAATATATTTAATTCGGCGTTACGCAATGCCAGATCGTCACCATTCTATACTTCTTGATATGTATACACATGTATGCAGAATGCAATCTTGAATGATCACAGGTAAACATGCAAACATACTAAACAAAGGCTGCAAGAGGAACCAGGACTGTCCATCCAGCAACTTTCAATGCTTCGAGGGAAGATGCAAGTGTCCCATGGGATTAAGTTTCAATCCTGCTGACAACACCTGTGTTAGAGGTAAGTCAACACTGATATAAAAGAACATCTCTTTATCACAAGGTTGACGTCTCTTCAAGTTATGACGCAATATTTCTTTGTCAATACTGCACAGTTTTAATAATGGTAAGGCCTTCAAGAATAATGACAAACACCACTGTCTAATTTACCCATGAACCAGACTGTGCTTGGGTCATCTTCGAGTTTATTGTAGAAACTGATCTACCTTCAGTTGTTGGCAATATAGAGCCTGTTTTTTGTATTGTCTTGTCATTTATAGTTACAATATTTTAGATTTGATTACTACAGCATATGTTATATTTGGGAATTCTCTATCTTAGTAAAGTACAAATTCTAGTACTTTTTGGGGATGAGTCCCACAAGTGGAAGTCGCGGTGGCTGACTTTGTGTGCTGGCGATTTGGTGCCTGACTCAGAGGGTGTGGGTTCGAATCCCGACTCAACCCAAAAAGTACTAGAATCTGTACTTTTAAGTGAGAAAGTGTAATCCCAAATATAGTGAGTGAGTGAGTTAAGATTTAAAGTCACATCGGCAATATTTCAGCCATATCGTGACCAGTTCTAAATTCATAATAATATATAAAACCCTATCAACGAAGGACGGTAAAATTACTAGGTTATCACAAAATGAGTTAAAACTAGCTAGCTTTAAAAGTAGAAAATTATTTTTGGACAATACAATGTAAAAATGGGCTATTGATCGCCAACAACTGAAGGTAGATCGCCATAGTAGGGACCATGGGGACTTACATTACTTTTCCTACCTGCATGGACCCTAGCTGGATTTACACCATCCCTTCAGCCATTGGCGTTTATGCTGAGATTTAGCCATACATTAAAAAGACAAAAGTACTACGGCTAAAAGCCTAGTAGACTTAAATTTACTTGAATGTTTTGGGACTTACGTACCCTCTCAGGAGGACAATATTTTTACGCCACGTCAACCCCCTTCAAAGGTACAGCCACTCACAGATTCAGTTTCTAATTACATGTAATCCCAAATATAACATGTTGCATTTGACCACTTTCTAAATGGCATTAAGTAATCTTTTAATGACTAGTTTTAAATATATTTCTGTAATAATCTAGTCGTTTTATTGTCCTTTGCAGACAGGAAAGTATATTTTCCAACTTTGTTTTTATTCATTTAGAGATTTACAACTTTCTAAGTCACGATTTGGCTAAAATACTGCCGGTATGACTTTACATTTTAACTCACTCACTTACTGTAGAAACAAGTGATAAACATGCCGGTCCAGTCACAAGCCTTTATTCAAAACTATGTAACCATAACCCAATAGTTCTCTACGCTACAATATAATATGAAAAGGAACTATAAGTCGCCAACAACTGTAGGTATTCTCAAGATTTTAGAGACCATGGGGACTTACAGGCCTTATGCCATACCTTCGGATGTTCGCGATTTTCACAATTTTAGGCATGGAACACATATTCTCCGATTAAGTGAGTAAGTGAGTTTAAAACTTTTGTCAAATCTGCAGTAATTCAGTCAAGAGTGAGTGAGTTCTTATTTAACGTCACATCGGCAATATTTCAGCCATATCGTTACGAGAACATACGTGACATCGAAATGGATTATATGTATATTATAAAAACCTGTCTGCAAAGGACACTAAAACAACTAGAATATCACAATTACAACAAAAACTAGTATGGAAATTTTAAAACTAATAGCACTATTTGGACAATACAATATAAAAACTGGCTATAGATCGCCAACAACTGAATGTGGATCACCATACTAGGGACCATGGGGACTTACAGTACATTTGCTACCTGCATGGACCCTAGTTGGATTTACACCATCCCTTCAGCCGTTGGCGATTATAAGAAATGTTAGCCAAAATTAAAATAACAAGAATACTAATTTTAAAAATCCTGGTAAGTTTACATTGACTTTCAAAGTTTTGGGACTTGCGTACCCTCTCAGGGGGACAATAATTTTACGATACTTCAACCCCTCTTGAGGGTACAGCCTCTATCAATCTAAGTTACTAATCAAACTACCAATCTCTCTACAGAACATATTTATCAAAATTCATTAATTAAATCAATTTCTTTTAAAAAAGCAAGAATTAAATGAAGATGAACAGTATTAGAAACATCTTTAACAGTTTTAACATTGAAATATTTATCCATTATGATGGAGAATTCAACACAGTCAAGCAGGAGATGCTTGAATGTGAGTGAGTGAGTGAGTCAATATTTTACGTCACATCGGCAATATTTTAGCCATATCGTGACGATATTGAAACGAAATATATCTATATCATAAAAACCTGCCGACGAAGGACAGTAAAACAACTAGAATATCACAGTTAGACATGTAAAACTAGTAATTAAATCTCAAATTTTGTAACTATAGGTGACAACACAATGTAAAAATAGGCTATATATCGCCAACAGCTGAAGGTAGATCACCATACTAGAGACCATGGGGACTTACAAATACTTGCAGGAAGCCTGCAAGAAGCCTGCAGGAAGCCTGTATGGCCACTGCGACACAGTCGCATGATGACCTCTTCAAATCTGGACTGACAACCAAAGTAGGTGTAACCAATAAAGGGTTTTATTTCATGTAATTTGTTAATACCTACTTGGGTGTCCCACTTCTTTCGCATCAGATCACGGATGTAGGTTCTAATGCTAGCTTTGTAATCAGAGTATGGGATAAGAAGTGGTGTCGCAGATTTGTTGAGTGCTGCCTTGGCAGCCAGATCAGCCACTGTGTTCCAAGAAATGCCAACATGGCTGGGTAACAAACAAAAGACAATGTCGCATTGACCAGTAGCAAGCTCATTATACAATTCAATAATTTCTAATAAAAGTGGATGTTTATAAGAAAGATTTTTAATAGCCTAACGTCACGAAAGAGAATCGGAAAAGATTATGTATTGTTTATATTTACGGTGTTTATAAATATATTGAAGAGTTGTTAATATGGCGTTAGCTTCTGCTTTGAAAATAGAGCTATTATCCGGTAATCGAGAAGATATTGTTCTGGGTCCAACGACAGTGGTACAAGCCTATGCGCCACTATCCTTGGGTCCATCTGTAAATAAGGACTTGTATGTATTATGTTTACTTTTAATTGATTATATTCTTGTCTATATTGTAATTCGTTAGTTTCTGATTGTTTAAACTTTGTCAGTGTTAGATCAACTTGTGGCCTCACTATTTGCCAAGGAGGAGAAGAAAGAAGACGGGAAGGAGATATATTCTCCAACTCAATGCCAGCAGCAGAAATATATTGTTGGATTCTTATCCCAAGAGGTGGAACAAGTGAAGTGTTTGTTATACAAATCCTCATAAAGAGGATTAAAAACGCAGTTGTGGGCAGGATTGGATTCATTAGAATATAACTTTGTGATATATTGTAAAGACAATTTGATACGGCGAAGTTTTAAAGATGGCGCATCAGCCTCAATGTAGAGACTATCAATGGGAGAGGTTCTGAAAGACCCAAGACAAAGTCTTAGACCCTGGTGATGGATAGAATCAAGTAGTTTGAGGTTGCTTTTACAGGCCCCACCATATACGATAGAGGCGTAATCAAGTTTAGATCGGACCAGTGATCTATACAAATGAAGGAGGGTGGTTGGTCCCCTCCCCACTTTGAATTTGAAATGACTTTCAAGAAGTCGAGTGCCTTCAGGCATTTGGCTTTTAGATGTTTGATATGTGGCAGAAAGGTTAAATGCGAGTCAAAGATGAGACCAAGGAAATTAACTTCCTTGACAAGTTTGATGGGTGTGCCATTTAATGATAATTCAGGATCTTTATGGGGTTTGTATTTCCCACAAAAATGTAGACAATTGGTTTTGGATTTCGAAAATTTAAACCCGTTTTCCAGAAACCATCTATGAATTTTGTTGAGACCAATTTGTAATTGTCTCTCAATAGTTCGCATGTTTTTACCACGGCAAGAAATATTAAAATCATCCACGATAAGGGATTGAATCACTTAAAACCTTTAAAAGACTATTTATTTTAATACTAAAGAGCGTGACAGACAAAATACTGCCTTGTGATCCTGATTGTAATGATCAGACAGGGTAGAACCCATGCGAACTTGAAATTGCCTGTCCGTCAAAACTTTGGATATAAATTGAGGCAAACGGCGTCTCAATCCAAAATCGTGTAAATCTCTTAAAATACCATGTTTCCATGTAGTGTGATATGCTTTTTCTAAATCGAAAAAGATCGACACTGCATGTTGTTTTTGAATAATGGCATTTTTACAAAGGATTCTAAACGCTCTAAATGATCAATGGTACTTCTGTTTTTACGGAAACCACATTGAATGTCTGTTATAAGGTTATTAGTTTCCAAGAACCACACAAGTCGATTTTTTATCATGGGTGGTTGAATGGGCCCGGTTCAACCAATCGGCTGGTCATGCTGAGCCCTGAGCACTCTATGTTCATTGCTCACTCACTTTTTGGCTTGTTTTTTTATACATATTGTTAAACTTATTGTGCTTGTTTATTGTTGTACATTGCTTTTTGAAACGTCTGAAAAGTAGAAATTTGCCTAGATGCTGGTGCCAGAAGGCGATGATGGCTCATGGGCCAATCTGGTAGAAAATAGGCACCCGTGAAGAGCCACCTCCTCGTGGTGAGTGCTGGGTAACGCTAAGCGCTCTTCGACCCCCCTTTGTGGACCCGGGGGTATATTTGGTCCACCAACCCGTTTGCCGTGGGTTGCGCCCCTGTGTCGGTGGAGGAAGGGATTCTGGTGGTTGAGGGCACTGGTTCCAGGAACAGTGTTCCTTTGCCCAACACACCAATTCGGCCCTGACTTCACCTAGTCGGGTGGTTGAATGGGCCCGGTTCAACCAATCGGCTGGCCATGCCGAGCCCTGAGCACTAAATTTCATTGCTCTAATATTATTTAGCTTGGTTTTATTTGGAAACAATATTGACATGTTTTGTTTTTGTATATCTACTATGTGATGTATGGATTTTCAAATTGTGAAAATTTGCCTAGATGCTGGTGCCAGAAGGCGGTGGTCTAATGGGCCAATCTGGTGGAAAAATTACTTTTTGGTTTTTCTGCTTGAGTATATCATCCGAGTATCCTTGGTGCTGCTAGTCGGAGACCAGCTTTTTTTTAGCATTGTCCTTTGTGATACTCCGTGGTGGGTGGGGAGCTCGGATGATGAAATCTAAACACTTACCATGGCTTATAAAACCCAAACAAAAAAATCAAACCTCCTCTTGAAACTGATCCTGATGACAACGACCTCAGACTATCGAAACAAATTGATTACTGGTCCCGTTTTGTTGTCATTGACACCAAAGATAGCACACCATTAAAGTTAAACCCTTTTGCTGTGTCTAAGGGTATTCAAGGCATTGCTGGCAAGGTAAAGAACATTAAAAGATTACGTTCTGGTGCGCTGTTGATTGAGTGCAGCAAAAAACAGCAGTCTACCAACCTGTTTGAACACTGACACTTTTGTTGGCATTCCGGTGTTACCGTCACGGCCCACAAAACACTTAACACAAGCAAGGGAATTGTGCGAGACCGCGATAGATTGCTGGCTGACATGTCGGAACTTGATATCGTCTCCGAGATGGAGGATCAGGGTGTACTGTATGTCAAACGTTTCTCAACACATAAAAATGATACAACCATTAAAACCAACACATATCTGTTTTCCTTTTCTCTACCAAATGCTCCAAAATCACTGAAGGCAGGTTATTGTAACCTCAATGTTGAGACATATATTCCAAACCCTCTTAGGTGCTTCAAGTGTCAAAAGTTTGGCCACGGCGTAAATACTTGCACATTGTCAGTTGTGTGTGCTCACTGTAGTGAAAAGACACACACAACTGAAGACTGTGTCAGTAATGTCATAAAATGCACCAACTGCGCAGGGAATCACCCATCTTACTCTAAGGACTGTCCCGTATGGAAAGAACAAATGGCAATTAATAAAATAAAATTCACACAAAACATTAGTTTTGCAGATGCCAAGAAACTAGTCCACAGCTCAGAACAAACAGAAAGTTATATTTCTATTGCTAGACCAACGGCTGAGGTACCATCTAGAGTAACTAAAGTGTCTGCAAGTTGTCAGACAAACTTAACTTGGGTAAATACAGAATCTCCTAAACCTTTCTCGCCTGCTACATCTACACAAACTGGAAACTCACCTCCTGGTACATCTCGAATCCAGTCAGAGACGTCGTCAACAAAGTCCCAACAAGATATCACTAAACCCAAAAGTAACAAGCCAGATTTATCTAAAAAGCTAAGTGACAGAGCCCCAAAAGGGTCGCAAATTAAAATTCAATTATACAACAAATATGGATCTCTTGAGGCCATGGACGTATCTGAAAACGTCCATTCTAGGGCACAAAGCTTGTCGCCTTCCAAACAAGTGCGGGGTAGATCCCCAATAAATCCCCCCAAAAGATAATGTCTTCTAATAATATTGTACAGTGGAACTGCAGAGGGCTAAGGAATAATTTCAGTGATTTGCAGCTATTAGTCCAGGACTTCACACCATCAGCCATTTGTCTTCAGGAGACATATTTAAAACAGACGGATACATTTGACCTACGCCATTTCAATGCATACCATTCTTTTTCACCTCCGGGTGATCGGGCCAATGGAGGATCTTCGATCCTTATCAAACAGAATATTATCCATAGCCCTGTTAAACTTAATACTGGTCTCCAGGCGGTTGCCGTACGACTGACGTTACATGTTGCGTTCACATTATGCTCTTTGTACATCTCACCGTCTTCAACTCTTCAGAAGACTGACCTTCAAAATTTATATGACCAACTCCCGAAACCTTGTATCATTATGGGAGAGTTAAATGGCCACAACCCGCTCTGGGGTGGTACAACTACTAATGCTAAAGGTAAACTATTAGAAGTCTTTTGTATAGATAATGATTTATGCATATATAATGACGGTTCTAACACATATTTACATCCTGGCACAGGAACTTATTCAGCCCTTGATTTATCAATTACAGATTCAGACTTATTGAGTGAATTTGAGTGGTCAGTCCACGACGACCTGTGTGGAAGTGACCATTTCCCAACAATACTAAAACCCGTGAATCCATCTGATGTTCCTCCATCTGAGGAATTTTAAGAAGGCTAACTGGCCTTTATATGAAACTTTCTGTGCTGACAAACTCCAACCTGAACTGTTTCATGATCTTCCTGATGCCATCAAATGTTTATTTCAGATGAGCTCAGACACATAGCTGACAAGTGTATCCCCAAATCCTCTGCAGTTCCTCATGTACGTAAACAATGGTTTAACGCTGAATGCAAACAAGGTGGCGAGGCACGGAAGAAAGCTGAACATTATTTCCGTTGCCATCCTATAGTCCACAATTTAAATAAATTTAGAATTTTAAACGCCAAAGCACGGCGTACTTTTAAACAAAATAAACGCCAATCTTGGCGAAACTATGTCTCAACAGCAATTCGCGCACGCCGATATCAAAGGTGTGGAACATGATTCAGAAAATAAAAGGTAAGGGCTCTAAATCTAGCATTAAGCATCTCAAAAATGGAGATGAATTATTAACTGATAAATCTGACATAGCAAATAAACTTTGGCCAAACATTCTTCCTCATCTAACTATGTACCTGAATTCCAGAAATATGAAAGGCAGCAGGAAAAGAAATCTATTAATTTCAATTCAGACAATGGGGAAGACTACAATGAAACCTTTTCGATACATGAGCTTCATACTGCTCTTGACCAAGCTCACGATACTGCTTCAGGAGCTGATGGTATACATTATCAACTCCTGAAACACTTACCTGAATCATGTTTAGAGACGCTCTTATCTATTTTTGATGTCATTTGGACATTTGGACAATTTCCGTCGTGGTGGCACGATGCTATTATTGTTCCCATCCCTAAACCTGGACGTGATCATACTGATCCTTCCAATTATAGGCCAATTTCACTAACTAGCTGTGTTTGCAAGACAATGGAACGCATGATAAATAATCGACTTGTTTGGTACTTGGAAACAAATAACAAATATACAATGTGGTTTCCGTAAAAACAGAAGTACTGTCGATCACCTAGTGCGTTTGGAATCATTTGTTAAAAAGCTCTAATTAATAAACAACACGCTGTGTCTATCTTTTTTGATCTTGGAAAAGCATATGACACTACGTGGAAATATGGCATTTTAAAAGATTTGCATGGCTTCGGATTGCAAGGCCGTTTGCCTCAATTTATAGCGAACTTTTTAACTGACAGACAATTTCAAGTCCGCATGGGATCTACCCTGTCTGATCATTACAATCAGGATCAGGGTGTCCCACAAGGCAGTATTTTGTCTGTCACATTGTTTAGTATTAAGATCAACAGTTTATCCAAGGTTTTAAATGATTCAATCGATGGATCACTTTTTGTTGATGATTTTAATATTTCTTGTCGTGGTAAATATATGCATACTATTGAACGACAACTGCAGTTGTGTTTAAACAAGATAAATAAATGGTGTCTGGAAAACGGCTTTAAATTTTCTAAATCCAAAACTAATTGTATACATTTCTGCCGTAAATACAAACCGCATAAGGACCCTGAACTATCTCTAAATGGCACACCCATCAAATGATTACACAATGCCATTTGGAAAGAGGTCAAATGTAACATATGTTATATTTGGGATTACACTTTCTTAGTAAAGAACAAATTCTAGTACTTTTTTTGAGTTGAGCCCCATCCTGGATTCGAACTCACACCCTCAGAGTCAGGTACCTAATCACCAGCACACAAAGTCAGCCGCCTAACCTATTCAGCTACCGCGACTTCCACAAAAATGGAAGTCGGACAACTGGTAGTCTAGACTGCTGGGCTTTGTGTACCCCTCTGATAGGTGTTAATTGGCACGGTTCCCACGACCGAAAGCTATGATTACA